TGATGGTGAGCGTCAGCCTTGCCCTTGTGGTACATGATGCTATGACGTGGCTTGACTGTAAAGTTAGCACATAAACCTCGGAAAATGATGTTATTCGTGAAAAGAACGCAGACTTTAAATGAAAAAAAATTTAAAGATGACAAAGACTATATTTTGTGATACGGAGATAGTTTTCGTTTGCGATTCCCTTGCGTAACTCCTCTTCATTTCAGCAAATATCATCTATTAAGAACTTGCAAGCAAGTGCTCCATTTTTGCATGCTTTCTTAAGTAGCGATAATTATGCTCACTATGTGCTATTCAAGTAGTTTAAAAAAAATCAAAAGAGAGGGTACTGAGGAGTATCGGCATTTAGTATGGCAAGTCAATCAAACATCGGTCATGTTTCTCCAGAACCGAAGAAGAAAGTTCAATATGGAAACCGAGTGAGTTGATAAGCTTTACTATAATTTGGCTCAAATATATACTCACATGGGACAACGTATTTCAAGATTCCAAACATGATGATACCAGAGTAGATGTAGAAACGAAAAACTGGGAGGTACTTCCAACAGTGACGCCACGACCACATTCGCAACTGGAAAATCTTATTTAGGGAAAAATGAGTATGTTTTTGAATTGATATACCGCCTACGACTTCAACTATAACTTTTGTCTTGCCTTACTGTTTAAAACTTTGATGATTATTTTGGGCAAATCGACTTCAGGTTTTTTGGTCATTTGGCTTGCTGCACTGGAAAGCATGCTTTAATTACCAAAGGATAGGAATATCATGGGGACGAATTGCACAACGCGATTTCAGTATGTCTCAAAACGACCGCTTCTCTTTCTCGCAAAAATCTGTTAGCAAGAGAGGCCAAACACTAGTAGCTCTCTGTTCTTTGATAGTTTCACTCTAACTGAAGTTTACTTCGAGCAACACCAGAATGATCTGAAGAAGATGAAAAAGTTTTGAAAATTCATTTAGAAACAGTCTTTAAATTAAGAAGTCGCTATTGATGCTGCTTTATTTTTCTAACCCGCTTTGTGCAGGAAACCTTTTGAACATTCCAAGTGTTGACGAACAAAAAAACTTTTTTGACAACTGCAGTAATGATAAACCTTTAAACTTCACATGGACCCGCATAAACTAGTCAAACACGGTGAGGCACACATCTGATAGAATTCCGTACAGAAATTATTACGATAAGTTAAGAATAAGCATAGATGAATGAAAAACTAACGTATTCTTGAGCAGTCCATGGCCGAGCGGGCATTCGTGGGTGAAGATCCGTAGCAGGAACGGGGCCTTTCGTATTTGCAAGAGCTTGTCCTGCTCCAACCAAGGTCTCCGCCGTCCATTTAGCTCCCTCGAATATTTTGGCCACTACCATAGTTACCTGGAAATGATGAAGTTGGAAAAAAACAAGGCATCCCAGGTTTATAAAGTGGAACGCGAACAAGGATCTCGGAAGCAAGAAAATGCAATAGGAGGAAAGAAAATGAGACCATTGCCATCCAAACGAATCACAGGGAAAAGAATAACAACTTTAAACCAGGTCATTAATCACTAAACAGGCTGGAAAGCAGTAAACTAGCACGTACTTGAGGATCGATTAGTTCATGCTGTCTTATGGAGCCACATCCATGACAAAACTATCTTGAATAGTACTGATAATTGCTTCCATCAATGTCACAAAACTGTTTTTTGTACCCAGCTGAGTAGTGCCTTTCTTATATTCTAAGTGCTTCACAAACAAGTCTCTACGATCTAGGATTTCAAAGCCTTCAAAGTTCAAGCAACACAAGAACAGAATATTTACGAGAAAATACGTGGAAGTGAATCCTGGTCTTTACGTGCTTATTAATATTCATGCGCCTAACAGTCTCAAAAATATAAGTGGTCATTTGAAATCCACATAGATAAAGCTGAAAGGCTTGAGTGGAACTGGCACAGCTGGTTGATGACTCATAAAGGTGCAAAAAAAGGGAAACCTCGGAGATTTAGCATATGTAATAAGATGAAGGCATCAATAAAGCTCAATAGTGAGTTCAGTCTTTACTGTTTAAAAAAAGTTTGCATTGGCAAGCAGAAAAACAAACCATTATCCGTCGGGCCTCGACAATATAAGCAGGATCTTTAAGCGTCCACTGACACTAGCACTCTCAACAACGTATTCACTTAACATTGGTCTCAGGGGACAAAACAGAAGACGTTATTACAATTAGACTAACTATAATCACCAATATTTCTCACAGTGAAATTCTGCAGTTTTCTTAGCAACGAAACAAAATTTCAA